TGCGTGACGATGATATGTCAACACCCGATATCGAGACTTAACTTGGAAATGTGTAATCACACGTACTTCAGAAATAAAGCTTATGATACAAAGACATTAATTAACTCACGGGCAAACACTGACATATGATCAGACGACTTCCAAGAAGGTCGTATATGAGGCGCATGGAATGCAGACTGATGTGTTTTGTTTACCAACCTCACCTGTACGTATCACGTGCTAACAGTAATTCACAAGCTCTTGGTCGCTACGACTTTTGTTGTCGAGCGAGTTACGCTCTGTCAGATAAATCGGTTCACAAATGCAATTACAATATCTCTGTTAAAAAGTGGTTTGTAAAATATCAAGATCCCTATAAAATGCAAGTGCATGTCCGTGTACGTAATAACGGCATACCATGCGATAGCCTATGATTACATATGTACCTGACATGTTAATATACCATGCGTAAGCAGGCTATGGAATGATGTCCAAAGTGTACATGATTGAGAGTAATTTTTTTCCATAAAAGAACAGTAAATTGACAATTAAATCTAGTAATTTAAATTACTTCCGTCGTTTTTTGGTATAGTAAAGAAAATAAGTGTCATTGTATAAATTCTATCCCTCTGCAAAAAGTTCCGTTTTTTTTCAAGGTAGACAACTCTCATCAGGATCAAAATTATTGTAAAATGTAAAATAAATTAATTATAAAGACTTTGTGTGCATTTGGTTCAATTTTTCAGTCTTTTTGTATGAAACTATGTGTCCTGTTTGCTTTTAGCTTGTATTTAGTAACTGTTATCCATACAATTTCAATAAAAAACGCTTTTTGTAACATGTTGTAGATATTTTATGATAAATAAAATATGTGTAGGGTTGATTAGCAATGTTTCTTTTCATTATTTTATTGTTGTTATAGTTTTGAACAATGCCACACGCTCAAAAAATGTAAAAGTGTTGAATTCGACAAAAGATCAATATTTCAGCATTTTTTACAAAAAAATCCCCAGTTTATCGGAATGCTTAGATTTTCATAAAATCATCTCTACATAGTGACATAACCATTATGTGAAACTTTCATTGAATTCTGCTGGCTAATTGCGAAAGGGTGGAGCCTCCTTAAGGCCCATGGGCCTCTTGTTTTGTGAAGTGTTGGACAACCACCATCAATAGGCTGTTGTCTATCATAAGGTTGAAGCATTTATATGCCGTGTTAGCAATGTTCTGGGCAATATTTTCATATTTTATGGCCCAAAAACACCTTAATTGGACTTAGTATATTTGAAGTTAAAGTTTTTGGGCAAGTTTCTTTTTGAAGTGTTGGACAACCACCATGAATACACTGTTGTCTATTATAAGGTTGAAGCATTTATATGCAGTGTTAGCAATGTTCTGGGCAATATTTTCATATTTTATGGCCCAAAAACAGCTTAATTGGACTTAGTTAAATTTGAGGTTAAAGCTTTTGGGCAAGTTTTTTCCAGACAGTGTTGGACAACCACCATCAATAGGCTGTTGTCTATTATAAGGTTGAAGTATTTGTATTGAGTGTGAGCAATGTGTTGAACCATATTTTCATATTTTAGCGTCCAAAAACAGCTTAATTGGACTTTGTTAATTTCTTAACAATCACTTCACATAGATGTTTCTACACATTTAACAGTCTTTGAAATATCCTGGTGGTAAGTGAAGTGGCAAATAAAATGACAGGCACTATATCAACGTTTTACTATACATGTGTTTCTATTGATAGTTGCAGGATTATAATAACATACATAGGCGAGCTATGCTGTTCTCCAACAGCTCTTGTCTTATCCAGGGCTGTTGCATCATATATACACACAGGAATGAAAGAAAACTTGATGTTACTCTTGCGATGAATGTCATGTATTTCGTTGGTTAAGAGCTCCTTGAAATAGTTTCCAGTTTGTAAATACACCTTAAAATCAAGCTGACATGCTCTTTCTTCCATTTTGGTTTCAGTGATCTTAAAATCTAACTGCTATAAAGTCTGAAGAGCAATGAGTTTCACAAAGTTGGTCCATCATATATAATTGTCTAAATAATTCTAAACAATTTTTAAGTTTCATTGCAGTCTCAAGCTGAGAATATTAAAGTCAATCCTTCATTATTTTCATGTTTTATTTAGTCTTCAGAAAGCAGTGAAGGAGTTCACAATGTCATGTGCGGGTTACAGTGTCGCCACCTATGTACTGGGCATCGGGGATCGACATAACGACAACATTATGTTAAAGGAATCTGGACAGGTAATTACAGGAAATTGTTGAAATTTTATGAATAATAAGTTTGTTGTACATACTTCCAGTAGGTCTCGCTGTATAGTACATTTGTGTGTCAATGGAACCTATTAAATCTTGGATATCTGTATAAATTGGACCTTCAGTTGAGGTCCCACTTTATAATTCTATGTATACTGAACCTGTGTTATCACCTGAGTGTGTAAACCAGACTTTCAGCTAGGTCTAACTTTGTACCTTAATTATACCCCACTTAGTGGAGGGAGTACATAGCAATCACTTTGTCAGTATGTTGTGTGGCTGGCATCTGTAATACAAAGTTATCTCATGAACCCTTCAACAGATGTAATTCATGATTATACCATAGTATGATAATATTAAGTTGTACACCTGGCCTCAAAATCATCAAACAATCTTAGACTTCAGTTTTTGCTTAGCCAATCACGTGAGACATCACTTTCCATGACGTTATTTCTGATTGATCCAGTCAAAACTTAATTTTAGCCTTAAATACGGTTTTGGTGGTCACCTGTTAAGGATAAAGGGTCAAACTTGACCACTTTGTCTTGGTTTGTCAGCCTCTGCATTATTTTCTTTTTTTATCTATGAACTAAACCGTTGTAATCTATACACCTTTGTTAACCAGCCCTTTTTCTCGGTCACATTGTATACATTTTATGTTTTTCAGACTTGTATATATATTCCAGAAACCTCTTCATTCAAACAGAAATATTGATTCTGATTATGTTTGATATAAACAGTTTATACTTTATTTTGATGTATTCCCTACATAAATGGATTTTTGGTAGCTATTCCACATTGACTTTGGACACTTCCTTGGGAACTTCAAAAGTAAATTTGGTGTGAAGAGAGAGCGAGTTCCCTTCATTCTGACAGATCATTTTGCCTATGTCATCACCAAAGGGGAAACTATGTCGGAGAACTTCACTCGGTAAGTACCTATAGTAATCACCAAAGGGGAAACTATGTCGGACAACTTCACTCAGTAAGTACCTATAGTAATCACCAAAGGGGAAACTATGTCGGACAACTTCACTAAGTAAGTACCTATAGTAATCACCAAAGGGGTAACTATGTCAGACAACTTCACTCAGTAAGAACCTATAGTAATCACCAAAGAGGAAACTATGTAAGACAACTTCACTCAGTAAGTACCTATAGTTATCCCCAAAGGGGAAACTATGTCAGACAACTTCAATCAGTAAGTACCTAACGTAATCACCAAAGGGGAAACTATGTCAGATAACTTCACTCAGTAAGTACCTATAGTAATCCCCAAAGGGGAAACTATGTCGGACAACTTCACTCGGTAAGTACCTATAGTTATAACCAAAGGGGAAACTATGTCAGACAACTTTACTCAGTAAGGGACAACTTCACTCAGTAAGTACCTATAGTTATCTCCAAAGGGGAAACTATGTCAGACAACTTCATTCAGTAAGTACCTAAAGTAATCATCAAAGGGGAAACTATGTCAGACAACTTCATTCAGTAAGTACCTAAGGTAATCACCAAAGGGGAAACTATGTCAGACAACTTTACTCAGTAAGGGACAACTTCACTCAGTAAGTACCTATAGTAATCCCCAAAGGGGAAACTATGTCAGACAACTTCAATCAGTAAGTACCTAACGTAATCACCAAAGGGGAAACTATGTCAGATAACTTCACTCAGTAAGTACCTATAGTAATCTCCAAAGGGGAAACTATGTCAGACAACTTCATTCAGTAAGTACCTAAAGTAATCATCAAAGGGGAAACTATGTCAGACAACTTCATTCAGTAAGTACCTAAGGTAATCACCAAAGGGGAAACTATGTCAGATAACTTCACTCAGTAAGTACCTATAGTAATCATCAAAGGGGAAACTATGTCACACAACTTCACTCAGTAAGTACCTAAAGTTATCATCAAAGGGGAAACTATGTCAGACAACTTCATTCAGTAAGTACCTAAAGTAATCATCAAAGGGGAAACTATGTCAGACAACTTCATTCAGTAAGTACCTAAAGTAATCATCAAAGGGGAAACTATGTCAGACAACTTCATTCAGTAAGTACCTAAAGTAATCATCAAAGGGGAAACTATGTCAGACAACTTCAATCAGTAAGTACCTAAATTAATCACCAAAGGGGAAACTATGTCAGACAACTTCAATCAGTAAGTACCTAACGTAATCACCAAAGGGGAAACTATGTCAGATAACTTCACTCAGTAAGTACCTATAGTAATCTCCAAAGGGGAAACTATGTCGGACAACTTCCCTCAGTAAGTACCTATAGTTATCACCAAAGGTGAAACTATGTCAGACAACTTCACTCAGTAAGAACCTATAGTAATCACCAAAGGGGAAACTATGACAGACAACTTCACTCAGTAAGTACCTATAGTAATCCCCAAAGGGGAAACTATGTCAGACAACTTCATTCAGTAAGTACCTAAGGTAATCACCAAAGGGGAAACTATGTCAGATAACTTCACTCAGTAAGTACCTATAGTAATCCCCAAAGGGGAAACTATGTCAGACAACTTCATTCAGTAAGTACCTAAAGTAATCACCAAAGGGGAAACTATGTCAGATAACTTCACTCAGTAAGTACCTATAGTAATCACCTAAGGGGAAACTATGTCAGACAACTTCACTCAGTAAGTACCTAAAGTTATCACCAAAGGGGAAACTATGTCAGACAACTTCATTCAGTAAGTACCTAAAGTAATCACCAAAGGGGAAACTATGTCAGACAACTTCACTCAGTAAGTACCTAAAGTTATCACCAAAGGGAAAACTATGTCAGACAACTTCACTAAGTAAGTACCTATAGTTATCACCGAAGGGGAAACTATGTCAGACAACTTCTCTCAGTAAGTACCTATAGTTATCACCGAAGGGGAAACTATGTCAGACAACTTCAATCAGTAAGTACCTAAAGTTATCATCAAAGGGGAAACTATGTCAGACACCTTCACTCAGTAAGTACCTATAGTTATCACCAAAGGGGAAACTATGTCTTAGTGGATTTTAACTTAATTAGCTCTGGAGCATCCTTAGGCCAAGGGGACTCAATTTGTTTAAAAGGTGGGTGTGCCCCCTCTGGGGGCAGAGGAGTGAGGCCCAATATGGGAAATAGAGTCAAAACATCTAAAATCCTTCTTCTAGCATAGGGATAAAGTGATTTTATCCTAATATTGTCTAATTATGTATCTAAAAGGGAAGCTACAGTGAACTCATCATTTTTATTTATGTGTATCTAAAAGAAATTATGTTGGTAAACTTTATCATTGTGTGTCTAAGGAGAAAACTATGGTGGAAAACTGTATTTAGTATCTGAAGGGAAAGTATATGTCTTCCTGTTACAGATTCAAGGAAACCTGTGTAAAGGCGTACCTGATAATACGACGTAAGGGCCCGCTGCTGATCCGACTTTTTATGATGATGATCATGGCGGGGATTCCTCAGTTGACCAGTGTAAATGATGTAGAATACCTGAAAGATACTCTAGTCCTCCATCTCTCTGAAGATGAGGCCAAAGAACATTTTCATACAAAGTTTCAGGAGGCCCTAAATAATAGCTGGAAAACTAGTCTCAACTGGTGGATTCACCTTAAAGCTCATTGAGAAGGGATGAAGTCTGAAGTCATACACTCTGGTATGATAGCCACTACCCCTAAGTCCACCTTAATACTAGGTCGCATTGGTATATCCTGGTTGAAACGGTACAGTTTCGGAGACAAACAAATAACAATAAACCAAGTCTTTCTTTCACACGTTCCATAATTATATAACGTACTTTAAAACCTTCATGTGGATCGACCTTGTTTTATAAAGAAATAATGCAAACTAGAAATAGTCAGCATTCTAGTTTCGGTCAGGCACGTCTCGACCCCTCAATATGCATGTGCCAAATATTTCTGAGGTCACCTCGGTTCAGACCTTGCATGAGCCTGTTGTTTTCTTTACAGGTTCAACTTGTTGGAATGGTTGAACTGGATACTTTGTACAGGTGGAACTTTGAATATTTGTAAGTGAGTGCTGAGGCAGACCATAGCTGATTAGATAGGTGTGGATTTAATAACACTGAATATGCTTGCATTGCAAATAGACACGTGACTTCCAAATTTAGCTTTTGATAGCTTATTGAATACTACCGGCAGTGTTTTGTTAAGGAAGAGTCTTTTATAATTGTTTATAGATCTCACAGTATTAAAAATAGTATTGATTCAGCTAGGACATATTTTAATAGCCTTGAATACATATGTTGATAAAGGTTCAAGTTTATACGTGTATATCTAACTTAGACCTTTGAAGAATTTGTGCATTTTCAAAAGAAAGGGAAATTGTTTCATTAATCAATGGATGAAATTGGCAATTAAAAAACCAAGATATACAAAATGTAAGTAAAATCCTTCTGCAGAAATTCAGGCAAATTAGAACATTTTAAGGATTGAAGGCCCACCGATGTTTTGAAAAAGGAGAGAAGTTCGCTGTGAAGTCATGATTTCATGCTGGTAAGATCTAACTTATATGTATTTAAAACTGGTACTGATCAAGCATCTGATCTGTAAATTAACATTTCAGAACAATTTTATATTATCCTGAAGATATATCCTATGTTAGTTTTTTATTACTTTGATTTGTTATCTTAACAATACTTTTATAATGCAACATTAGGTATTATCTTATGTCAGTAAAGTATTAACTCATCCAACCCTGAAATTTCATAATGAACTATTCCAACCTTTGAATTGGAAGAGTTCAAATGTGTCTTCAGGGGGTGAATGAGTTAATATATAGTGGTTTGTTTTCCTTTTCCCATCCTTTAATATATGGTAGCGTACAGTGTATGGGGATAATATCCTGTCGTATGGAGCTACCATACACACACATGGAGAAGTTGTTGGTAGCAGAGTTCAGTGTACACAACACACCTACATATATATATATACACCAAAAAAAGCAAAATAAACCATGATTTTTAACCCAAAATTTGACCCCGGCAAAAAGTAATTTCTTTCTTAAAACCTACCTTAAATTAAATATCACCTACTCGGTAACAGAAATACTCACATAGGTCGTTCAGGTGGATTTTTTTACAATATTTGCACATGTGCTGAGTACAAAAATAGACTACATGAAAAGTTAGCTTTTGTTGTGTAGAGAGTGGTAAATGGCCAAAGCTGTAGTATCAAACCAAATTCAATTTATTTTCTTGAAAAATTATGAAGCCCACATAGTCCACTTCATCATGTATATACCAATTTTAGCACTGATTTTTTTTTAAAATCTTTTGATACATGTAATATTACAGGAGTTATTCATTGTTCAAAAATATCACCCATGACCACCATAAGCTACTGTACACTGCTACCTTAAGTCGCGCATACACATGATGATTATTGTGATGTCATAGCGATTTGAAATGGTTGACAATCAATGATCTCCAATGGTGACACTTCATTATATATACATGTTAGTTTTGTGTTTATATGAGGTATTGAGTACTATAAGAAGTATTAATGGGGTTAAGAGCTTAGAAACAGAATAGAGTTACATGTTTTCATTAAACCAAGGGCACCTAAGAATTTTTCTCTTCTAGCTTGTAGTAAACATTTATAACGAACTCAATAAAGCAAATTTTTAACAAACTCAGGTCACCTAAGAAATACGTTCTTTACCGTCAAACACATTTAAAACAAGCAAAGGACACTTAACATTCCGGCCAACAAGAGTGATTTGTTTCATACAGGTAATTGGTGAAAAATAAATAAAGTTTACATTTTTACAAAAAACAAGTTGCTAGACATAATTAATTATGGATTTGGATATTCATGAGATAACTTGTACTCCTTTCAAGTTGACACAAAGGGGGACTTGGTGATATGCAGGACTTCTGAATAAGTACTTTGGTACTATTAAACATGACAATTGTGTAAAGCTAGGAACATGAAGATTTTCCTATTGGATTACTGGGAGCTAAGGAATGGAGAACATGACTGTCTACAGTTTAAAGAAGACTTATTTTCAGGTTTAAATATTTTGATTCCATGACAATTTTAGTTCATGCTTAGCTAGTAACTTCTTAAATTGTAAAATTCACACCACTAGGTAATTACCAATACTCGATATCCAGGGGTTACGCTCATTTACGCTCTTTGCACCCCTGGAATATGTACATCAAAAGAATCTTGTGGCCGCGTAACGGTAAAAATTGAAGTTGGTTGTTGACCCTTTGTAATCTTGGAAAGACCGGTATCAGCCTCAGCGATTGGTCAGTTTTTTTTTTTTTTACCTGAGACCAATCAAAAAGCTGTCTTTGTGCCTTCAATTTTGCTATGACATATTCCAGGGGTGCAGAGAGCGCTAGTGAGTCCTGGAGTATCGAGGATGGTTATTACCAGACTATGATAAATTCATGGATTATTTTTAGACTACAGATAAAACTCAACAAACTACAGGTGTACCATAATGTACTTTGTGACTTTAATTGAGTGCATTTAATGTATGGTGCTTTTTGTTTGACTTAAGTTACATTGTTTATATATCTTTATATTGTACTTAAATTCTATTGATAATTCTACAATGTAAAGATAGTGTTGTATTATGCTGTAAACATACGTATTTTAGCAGTAGTCCTACTTTAGTGCTTTTTGTCCTTTAAATAACTGGCTGAATTATGAATGCACAACCTGAAGTACCTGTTTATTGTTCGCTGATCCAATTTTCTTGATGTGCCTTATCATTAATGCACTAATCTATTATAATTTGATAGTGTGCTAAAATTTGAGTGCACTGAAATAAGTATGTTCCAGTACGTTATCTGTATATAGCATAATATATTGTTGAAACATTCACTTAATTGTTATAGACAGTTTAATTCTGGATATGTGTGAATCAGGTTATTGTTTATATCTAAAAATATGCTCAAAGCTTTAATGATTATTTGATTAAAGTACATATTTATATGTTGAAGTGCAAATGTTGAAGAAATTCAATATAAACGAATAGAGAGTACTTTAAAATCTGTCATCAATGCAATCTTGAATATGTGGTGCTTACAATCACTGTGTTATATATTAACTGAAATAATCAAAATGTATTGAGTATGTACTATCAAAGGTATACCTGCTCCGTTACTTGTGCCATGTAGTTTCTTATTTTATATTGTTGTAAAGTGTTGAATGAGTTAACGATGAACACATGGATACTCCAATAGTCTCAACTAGCATACCAACCAAACTATATGTCTTAAATTTCCATATTTTTAATGGCCTTCCATTACTGGCCCGGTGATTTGTTTTTAAGTCACAATAATCATGACATGTACATGTATGATTTGAATGAGCATATTCACAGTCACACATTTTCTCTTCAGGAGAGTTAAAGGCAAAATAAGTGGTTGTTTTTGTACATCTTTGGATGATAACAGAGAGTTGTACGGAAGTCGGACAGCCTTGTTGTCAAGTTTGAGGTTAACTAAGGTAAGAGTATGTCTCCAAAGATAACGCCACCAGTGACTGCCGGTCATTTTACATAATTAGGATGGAACAGATTTGTTTTTCAATTTCATACTGGTATGGAAGCTAATCGGTTGCATTCATATTCCATGAAGCCTTCATGGTAAATATGTGTGGAACCGATTTGCGTTCATACCGGCATGAACATTGAAAAAATGCCCTTCAATCCTTATATTTACATTCTAATTTTTACTTATTATTGATCTAAATACATATATTCCCTTATCGTTACGATATTGAAGTGTTTATATTGTCAGTGCAAACGAGATTCCAAGAACAGCCTAACATCATCAAAATGTTTGCTTCTAGCAGTCGTCTGGTTTTATTCGAGGTGGGAGGAGAAGCTTCGAAATGACACTGATTCAACTGTATTCATAGCCCTATGAATGCAAATTCTTGCGGTAATGTTTATAGAGGAACTTGCACGGGAAATGTAAATAAAGGGAAGTAAAAACCGAGGTAGATGTCATTTCATAACGACTACACTTCGTATTGATAATGAAGTAATTTGTGGAGAGCTGAAATTGGATCTGTTTGTGTTGATAATAAAAGGATAAAGAGCTCACGTTGCTATGCACATATTGGTGCTTCAATCATGTTAATGCTTTGTTAATTAAATCATTTATAAACAATATTGAATTAAAGGGTTTTACATAAAAGTATATTTCCTTTGTGCACAAGTTAAAATGATAAATTTTTGTTTTCTGATTTATAAGAATCTTAACACAGATTTTTTAAAGGAGTCAAATTCCATTTTTCACATCATTTACCTGCATGTTAGGAGTTCTTAAATTCCATTTTCAGATACAATGTACATGTAATGTACCTGCATAATCAATTTTGGGAAACATTAATCCTAGCATAATGCTTTAACTATTATCATGTTAACAAACAATGCTGTTTCTCTCATCCCTCTGTATGGAAGAGCTGTCCAGTGTAAGAAAGGAGTGAAAGAAATTTCAATCTGACACCCATTTTCATATGCATGATGTCACAATGGGATAGCAATGACATCACGTCACAGATGCAGGATCATTCTGATGCTGCAATGGAGAATTGCAACACCTTTTTGTGATGTCTGAGCTATTTCTGAAATGAAAGACAAATGCTCTATCATGCCAAGGGGTGTAGGATAGGGAAGAGCCATCCTCAAGGTTTTCCAAATTGTGTAAATTAACCCTCGGCAAGTCTTTGGTTTTACCCAATTTAAAAATATCCTTAGGTTGAATATCCCTATCTTAGACCCGGGCATGAACGAGTCTTATTCTTCACAGACAACGGACGGTATACAATATATAGGCCCTATTTTTTCACTTTGAAAATGTTAGATGTATACTGTAAAAAAAATATAAAGCTGTGGAGTGGAATCGATATTTGTTATTATAAGACAGCTTGGTCCAATCCTACCTGTGTATCTGTTACTTACATGGAGCGTGTAATGATGGAAATATAAGTACAATACTTATAAGATGTCCGAGGGAAATCTATATTTAATAATATTAAATGATAGATATCTGTTACAAGATTTCAGTACAAGATTTCTGGTACAGGATTTCATATCCTCTGCACCAGTCAAAGAACATGAAAATTGTTTTAAATTTGTTTTTTTGGCTCATAGCCAATCTATGTTATGCATGCAGAATATTATTAAATGCACCTTAAAAGCAAACGTAGACAAAAAACCCAGAAAAGATAGAGTTTGCACCTGTTAAAAATACATTTTAAATTTACATGGTTTTTTTTATTGCATTCCTTGACAGTGTTGTATTGCCTCATTTGATTATTTGTTAAGTATATGGACTTGTTCATTGTTTAAAAAAAGTCCTCCTATTTATAACAAAATATATTCCATATATATCTTCACATTCCATTACATATATTAAACAGGTCTGTAAATGTTTCATATCATCGAAACTGAAAGTAAGACAATAAAAAGAGAAACTGTTTGTGCTTTACATCATTTTAACGGCTAGCTATGGCTATTTAAAGGACGAGTCAGGTTTTGGTGATTGAGGAAAACTGGAGTACCCAGTAAAGAAACACTGACCTGCAGTCAGTAACTTACAATTGCCCCACATAGGCCTCGAACATGCGACCCAGTGGTTGAAGGCTAGTGATAATAGACATGCATATGTCTTAACCACTTGGGCACCACAGCCTTCAAAAAGAGAGGAATCGGTCATTACTAACAGCATTATTGTTATCATTAAAAACTCAAAATATATCTGAGACAGCTCTAGCCGTGTTGGCTGTTGATGAGCTGTCATCTCACTATGTCTTTCTGTTGTCGTACTGTATACCCAGGATAAGAAACAGACCAGTGTCGTATCATATATTAAGTATATGTATTGGCTATTTTAAAGTTTAACTTTATGCTCAGACAATGTACGTTTTAAACATGTTGCAATTTCCCATGACCAACTTGTCCCTTTGTCAGTGCTCGAGTGAATGATTTGTATTGCTTTCCTGTACAACGATGTGACAAAATTATATATTTCATATTTTACTCGGTGGATTCCCTTAACACCAAACTCAAACATGTTTATATAGGTGGTCAGTTGTGATGATAGTGAGTTATAGCCTATTGCAGAAATGGTGTACAGGTAAATTGCACAGGCAAATCAACTTCTGATAACTTATCAGATAATCAGTAACTGCTAATAATTGCAAAATAATAATTAATATTTAGAACAGTTTTCAGAATCAAACAAATTTATTATTAGAGTTCCAATCCCATGCTGTTAATGGGTAA